GGCTTGAAATGCAAGCCGGTATAAACAAAATCAGCCAACTCAAAATGGCACCGTGGGAAAATATCTTTGAACATGTTTCAATAGATAGTTTTAAACAAATGGGCAATAAAATATTGAATACGTTAAGAGTAGCGCTACTCAACCCGGTGACCCTTATAGAAAAACAAAAAGAAAAAGAAGCTATACTGTCTAAATTCCATGACGATCCAATACAAGGAGGTCATACTGGCATTACAAAAACCTTGGCCAAGGTCAAAAGACATTATTTTTGGAAAGGTATGACTCGAGATATTACTGAGTACATACGAAAATGTCAAAAATGTCAATTAGCTAAAATAACAAAGCACAATAAGACTCCATTGATAATAACTGATACGCCAATAAACGCTTTCGACAGGGTGATAGTAGACACTGTTGGTCCACTACCAAAATCAGAAAATGGCAACGAATATGCAATTACTCTAATATGCGACCTAACCAAATATTTAGTTGCCATACCAGTTCCAAATAAGAACGCGAACACTGTCGCTAAAGCAATTTTTGAATCATTTATTCTAAAGTACGGTCCAATGAAGACGTTCATTACGGACATGGGAACAGAATATAAGAATTCAATTATAAACGATCTATGCAAATATTTAAAAATTGAAAATATAACTTCTACCGCACACCACCACCAGACAGTCGGAACAATAGAACGCAGTCATAGAACTTTCAATGAATACATACGCTCTTACATATCGGTTGATAAAACTGATTGGGACGTATGGCTTCAATACTTCGTTTTCTGTTTCAACACTACACCCTCAATGGCACATAATTACTGTCCATATGAGTTAGTGTTTGGTAAAACAAGTAATTTACCAAAACACTTTAATAGTATAGCTAATACAGAAACCATATACAATATAGATGACTATGCTAAAGAAAGTAAATATAGATTAGAAGTAGCATATAAAATAGCAAGAATAATGTTAGAAAAAAATAAGGAAAATAATAAGATATTATATGATCAGAAAGCAAACAACATAGATATATCAGTAGGAGATAAAGTCTTGTTAAGGAATGAAACAGGTCATAAGTTAGATTATAAATATACTGGTCCGTATAAAGTATCGGAAATAGAAGATAAAAATAACGTTATAATAACAAGTAATAAAAACAAAAAACAAAAAGTACATAAGGATAGGTTAAAAATGTTTATTTCATAATTGTGTTTAGCATGGCCATGCTAAAACAAAAGCACTATTTTAAATTTGAATATTATTTGTAATTTCATATAAAAAAAAAAAAAAAAAAAAAAACAAAAAAAAAAAAAACAAAAAATAAAATGTAAAACACAAAGAAACCTTAAAAAAAAAAAACTATTCATTTATTACTTAAAAACTAATTTCTTAAGCACATCGTATAAAATAACTCCATAATATTACGTTATTTTTCAAAAGGAGGGAGATGTAGTATGCATACATATTGAATGTCAATTGAAACTAGAGTACTTAAAGAGTACGCACTGTAACACTTTGTTGCTGTGTTGATGTAAACATAAACCCGGTCTTTAACCCGTGGCCGAAATATGGGTCGGTCGTCGCTCTCCCAGAATATGCAAGTGTCAGCATTCTGCTGAGACGCGCCGACCACTTGACAGAACTCAAGTGTATGCATATGCACAATCGCCCCAGCTCAAGAGAGAGCATAAATATACTTATAACATATACACATATGACATACATAAATGAAACATACATAACAGTCTCTCTGCTGCCCAAAACCTTATGTTTCGCGGCGACGAGACTTAGGCTTATTTAGAACCTAAGTAGAATGTTTAAGGTCAGATACAACTGAGCGTTGGAAGCGGCAACACTGCTGCCTCCCCTATGCTTTAAATAAAATAAATAACAAAATAAAGGAAGTGCATTTTAAACTTTACACCTCGACTGTGGTAATTCCCACGGTTACCCCTATTGTTTTGTCTCTGGTAATACAGGACAGCATTTGACTGCCCTGTTGCCTCATTGCAACTGTTGACAAATTTGCATACGGCTTCGTTCATGTTATTAAACGTTCCCGCCTGCATGATAAGTTTTACCTTATCTATAGAGCAGTTTTGGGTCATGGCTTTTACAGCTAGGATCGTACTATATCTGTACTATAGTTGAGTTACTGGTAGCCTCCTCTACGATTCCCCAAAAATATTTTTTACGCTTCTTTAGGGGCGTGGCATATCGAAAAATACCCTGTAATTTTCACTTTTTTTTTTGCAGTTAGGGTACTGTTATCTCGTTCTAAAAACTGACCAAAAATGAGGTGTCTACGCCCAGTTGGGGCGTGGCAAATCGTAAAACCCTGTATATTCTACAGTATTAGAGCGAAACTTAACTACTAAATTGTTGATGGGATGTGAATGAGTATTCCGCAGTCGGTAACGCCCAACTGCAACGTTCTCACTTGTTTTTATTAGGTTTATGGCAACTGCTTCGTGGCTGCCCTTGAAGGAATCTATAAGTTCCAAAGCATCCACGAAACTACGTAGATTTTCAGCTTTTCCATCGAACTCTGGCATGAGCGATGAAGCTAACTTTAAGAAATCTACGACAGTTTGGGCCATTGTGTCTTGTGATATTTTTATATCAATTTCAGACACATGGAAAGTAGCGGGCGTATTAAGAATATTCGGTACGAATATATCTATTTTGTGCCTTTCCGAGACGTATAGAAGGTTTTCCCGTAGCCTTTTAATTACATCATTTACTTGAGTGTGGTGCAGTTGCGTAAGTCTTGGTATGTTATCACAAACTATCTGACGAATTTTGTTGTAGATTTCAACCAAATTTTGCACATGTTTTATTTTTGTTTGAATTGTTATCGAGGCGCTCTTATTGAGGCACTTAAACGATTTGTCAAACTCTACACGCTGTTGTTTGATGTTAGTCACAATTTCTGACCATTCCATCAATTATAGTTCGTATTTATACTCATTCACGAAAGTGAATCAGTATATTGGTTTTGTGCAATGTCCGTCTTGCTGTCCGTCCGTCTGTCCGTCCGTCTGTCCGTATGAACGCAATCTATTTCGGCGCTATTGAAGCTAGAGACTTGAAATTTGGAACACATACTCGTGTATATCTCCGATTTATGAAGTGTTAAAATTTTCCCGATCCGCCCACTATGGGCGTGGCAAATCGGAAAAGTTTATATCTCCTAAAGTAAGCTTTTGCCCTGCATTGAATCAGCATTGGCGTGGTCATCTTGTCCACCAAGAACAGCCAAAAGGTATGCAGCCACGTAACACAATTTTTAACTCAAAATATTAATGAATTGGCACGAGAGTGACAACTGTCACGGTCGCCATGTAATCATATAAAACGTTGACCGTTTGGTTTGGTCGTTGAGCAGAGAATGCCCTCCGTATTTTATTCAAATTAAATCTTAGCCTAAAATACATCGAGTTTGCATAAAGAATTCTGTCGCTAAAAGCAGCGGCAGAATGGGAGTATATAGCCTGCTGTATGTGTGTGTATATATTTGTTTGTATGCATATGCAGAAGGCATATACATTTTAACGTTTAAGCTGCGACAAGAACGTAACAATGCTTACGTTGCAGATCCCACGCTGCAGGCCGGTCTATACATAAGTGACCGATCATATTACGGCACTTACATATGTATAGCTGTTATAATATAAATTAAGCAACAAAGTGTTGCTATGTTATGAGCATGATACTCTTACTTATATTTCGGGCATATGTCAACTTCATATATTGTATACGCTATAATACTGTGAGCATATGCTTATATGACATACAACATACTACAATACATTTTCCGATTTGCCACGCCCCTAGTGGGCGGAGATATATCCGCCATAGCTCGTGATCTTGGGTGGTCGACGCGGACCTACATACCAAATTTCAGCTTTCTAGCTCTTCAACAAACATGATTTCTGGTATATCGGAAAATGCATTTTCCGATTTGCCACGCCCCTAGTGGGCGGATCGGGAAAATTTTAACACTTTATAAATCGGAGATATACACGAGTATGTGTTCCAAATTTCAAGACTCTAGCTTCAATAGCGCCGAAATAGATTGCGTTCATACGGACAGACGGACAGCAAGACGGACATTGCACAAAACCAATATACTCATGAATGATTATATGATTATAATAACATTCGAACTTAATTTACAGGATATTGGCACCGCTATGTCTGGGTATAACCACAATCCTCGACTACTCTCACTCTCAGTTAATTCCGATAAAGACAGGAACTTCAACAATGCAGAACGGAACTTTCAAAATTATCCACGTATTTAACATTTCGGAATATGAAAAAATCTTCAGAGCTTTCGAAGAAACTCTTAACAATATAAGCACTTCACACCAGATGTTCCCACTACTAAATTATGAACTAAATAGCGTCAGAAGTGACTTGCGTAGACTCAAACCCTCCATAAGAATGGCAAGAGCAATAAATGCATTGGGAACAGCATGGAAATGGTTGGCCGGTACACCGGACCAAAGTGACCATGAGGCTCTAATTACAAGAAGTAAGAAAGCTCTAGTCGAGACTGCTCGACTACGAGATCCCCTGAACCCTTGGAGCAATAGCGATTTCAACAATTTTTCGCGTCTTTCAACTTACACAAGAAACACACACACACACGCACGCACAGGCATACATACACACACACACACATACACAAACATTTACTCACACACATACACACACAAGCATAAACACGCATGGGCTGCAGTGTGCGCTCACTATGAGACCTTAATTGTTTAATAATAAATGGCAATAACAACAGCAGCAATATAAGAAGAAGCATAGCCAACAGCTAAAAATCAGATGCTGAACGAATACACTTGACTATGTTGGTGTTTAGTTTCGTAATGAATCTTTATTCAGCTGGGCCCGGGTTTTTATACCCAGACTCATGTATAATTTCAACCATTAAATCTAGTGCTTCTATTGCTGAGTGTGTAAGGCTCAGTATTGGTCTATTACATATTATTAACTTATCGCGTAGTTTGTAAGACTCCGCATTGGTTTATTAGCTATTATTATTTTATTGCTGAGTTTATAAGACTCCGCGTTGGCTTATTAGCTATTCTTATGCTATCGCTGAGCGCTCGTCTCTTACGTATTCTAATCGCTAAGGGTCAGGGTCATAATTTTTGCCCAGTTTGACAGTTCACACTTGAAACATATGTTATTTATTTTATGCTAGCTGTCGAGTGCATAGCGCGTACGTTCCCCTACTTATCATATTTTTATGTTCATGCATGTTCATGAACATTCTGCGGGGGGCCAGAGAAGGTTATAGCTAACAATTTCTGTCTCTGGTTTCTCTTCTTTATTAGATACACGACAAATAGCGATATTATAATTATTACTAGTCCCAACGAAATATGTCCATTCATTGTGTGGAAGACAAGATCTTCAATATGTACCTTTTGCCGCTGCAGGTCTTCTATGCTTTGTTGAACTCGTTGTAGCTCTACTGAGTTATTTGCGACAATGTGTTGAAGTGGTGTTATCCCATGTGACGTTCTAGTCGATTATTTTGAGGAAAAGTGGCGAGTACCTTGCAGTATTTGTAGATACTAGATCCTGCGGAGTAATAATGTTAATTTTACCTATTCTGGCTGAGCATCCAGCATATAGCTCGATTATGCCTTGGTTTGGTAACTGGACTATCTCCTCGTAGTTTCCGCATATAATGTGGGCAGACTTCTCCTTAAATACTTTAAAGAGCCATCGGTTTTTTCCATTGAGTTTCTTGACGAACTGATCATGCAATCCTTATGTTCGTGCCTGAACATTCTGCAGGGCCCAGAGAATAAGCCGAGTATGCCACCATCACCTTGGTCTTTTGTTCAGGTGGCGGTTCCCAGGCCAAGTGAAGTCGTGTCTCTTTAAAGAACTTCTGCGGCTTATAGGTGTCATCGTTTTTTGCATTAATACAGCTGATTGCATCTGTTGAGGAAGTTGTCGATCGCTTCATTATTGCTGAGGCCAAAGCCTCCAAGTGATAGACGTCCTTCTGTTGATTCTGATGCCTTATTGTGCCTATTGTTTCGCTTGTAGTGGTTATTGTTGTTTCCTTTAATATGTTGCTGCTACTTCCAATTGACTCCTTTTCTGATGTAATTGTACTTGCAGCTTGTAGTGGTCGAAAATAAATAACAATTCGAATTATAGGTACAAATACAAATAGTGGGAACGGGTAATAAAACTTAATTTGGTATGCGTGAGTCACCCTACTTTTTTTTTTTGGTGTTAGGAGAAGACATGCAAATCAGGCGATTGCACCGCAAGCGCAGTTTAGAATCGTACGACTGTACCGCAAGCGGACAAGTTTAGAATCGTACGATTGTACCGCAAGCGGACAAGCGACAAACGCAACGATAAGTACAGCAGCGCTTAGCGCCACTTTAGTTTAATACAGCGTCAGAAAGTAAAAGATCGTTGATGCGGGCAGACGTTAATCGCCGCAGTGAACGAGTTAAAAACTAAAAAAAAACGTGGTGATCGAACGCTATAGATAAACCAATTGCAGTGTTAAATACAAATTTAAAGAGTGATAATTAGTCGATTATAAATCGAGAGGTACGTTGGACCGTGAAAGTTTTATCGGAAATTAATATACATTTTGATTTAGGCAGCCACTGGCAGCAAAACAGTATAGTTGTTGAAGCCTCCTCCAGGCCGAAGACTTCGGTCACGAGCAAGTGTCTCTTCCTAGTATGCTTTGTACAACGCGCCAATATCATTCTCAAAGTATATTCCTCAACAACAACTTAATTGCACCCCAACAACAACAGTTATTTTCGTCACAACTGTCAACTCACCACGACTTTAAAATACCTTGCTCACGCCAAGTCAACTACGCAACTACGGTGAACTATATAACTTAGCTTACTACGTTTGAGAAACTGCAGCTGGCTACATAAAGACAACAACAGCGTAAGACGAAACCAACACAATCATATGCCGGTCCTAGACAACTTCTAAAGAGAGATTAAGTAATATACTCGACTCAAGTGTAGGGTATCTGCTGGCGCACTAAGGTGAAATATTTGCAAACGCACATCAAAGCAAAATAAAATGTAAAAGAAAAAGAGAAATATTTGAACGGGAAGGGCGGATAGCTGATACACTCACCGGAAGGGTTCTGCTAATATTTAACTAACAAAAGAAAAGAGAAATTTTATAATTATGTAATTCTATTTGTAACAGTGTATCATCATGTCATCGTCATCTTGGGCCCAATGATCACAACGGCATGCAGCTATATATGAAACCTTGGTAAGGTAAATAATGAATCAAGAAAAATAAATAAAGTAATCATGTAGAGAAGAGATATAAAAAAAAAAAAAAAAAAAAAAAAAAATATATATATATAGAAATGCAGATGATATTGAGAAAATATAATTTTGAATTTTAAAATTAAATTTTGAATGAAATAATACAGAAAATAATGCATAGTAAAAAGAATACATGATTCAACTTTGTAGATATAAGACTATTATTAAAGTTAGATGTTAAGAAAACCAAAAGAACAAACATGTTAGTCTGTAAGCATAGCATAAGAGCATATTGTAAACCCTACCCATATTAGTAATCCGCCACTCTTTATGATTAATTCAATACCTCTTTTTGGATAGAAATGTAGTTTTGAAAGGCATATTATGGAATTAAAAATTTGAAGTTATAATGAATTTTTGAGCCTTATAATTTAGTCTGTCGATCATCCATGCCGGGTCTTATAAGATGTAGCTAAGATCGTTGAGAACTTAACTAAGGGACAATATTTAAAAAAAATTTTCAATATTGTCAAGGTGGGGAGGGTGAAGAGAGAGAGAGACAAACAACACCTTGGTACTCTTTGTCAGTTGTGAACATAGGACGGTTCAACATATATAGCGTGTCGGCGCTTCCATCACTTAGAGTTTATTTTGTTTTTAGATTCCGAAACGCGCACTATAACTAAAGTGTGTTAGGGTGCAACCGTGCAGATAGGTAAAGAAGAACCCCGACAATCCGGCGAGCTAGTACGAGCATAGCGAGAGTGCGCACTACTGAGCCTACTGCATACGTTCAAGTCCAAAAATTCCACCAACTGGACAGACCGAATTATACTCATGGAAATGGGTATATGACCTCCTCCATCCTGTACACTACACATTTTAATGGCGCCCAACGTGGGGCCGAGACAGTACACAACTTTAATGCCGACGGTACACATTTTAATCAAACCAATGTGGGATCATAGACAGTGGATTTCAACCTTTTAGTATTGTCTGGGTTCCTAAAGCTCACCATCAATCCATCCATACAATACATGTTTTATTGAACTAAAAGTCATTTATATAATTGTTGCAGACAACATTCTCTTACGCTTAGGATCTTTTTCGTGGAATTAGCGATTGCAATTCATTGTTTTGGATTGGTCGACCTGAATAGACTTACAGCTTCAGAGGGTGAGGATCAATAAGTATATAATTGATATTATACAATTTGTAGAATACATCTCAATTATTTTTGGAACACAGTAGACTTACTTCAGTGTGAGTGCTGTCCAGTAATTGAATGTTCTGGTTAATGAAATAGAACAATTAACGACAATAGGTGTAGACCACTATGTACTAGACTGACACCATCTTATAAGTTTCTGGCATGGAAAAGACAGACATATTAGTACCCCAAACAATTTAAATCCTTAATTATTAGTTTTTACATAGACAAAGCAAAATGTCGGTGATTCATAGCACGGAAGATATAGCATCCGCATTGCAAACGGAAGAACCTTTTTGCTGTATGTGTAATGAAGTATTAAATAGAAATGATCTTGTAGCAAAAACCCCATGTAGGCATATTTTCCATAAACTTTGTATTATAGACCATCTTAAGGTAACTCCAAAATGCCCAACATGTAACGCTGATTGCACGACAATGGCCTTAACATTTTCGAACAATACTTTGTTTGCAGAGCTTCGCTCAGAAGCTGGCCCACAACCTGGTGCAAACGATTCCTTAAGTACACGTGGCAATAGGTTAAATTACCCTAGGAGAAATCAAAGATCCACTAGAGGTCGAGGGATAAGTCCAAGGCGAGGTATGCAAACTCGATCTACCACTCGACAAGAATCTGACCGTAATTTGAACACTACTAGTATCGGACTTAACAACCAAGACGAGATAGCTACCTATATACAAGCTTCAATAAATATCCAACAGCAACAATTGGTAGAACAACTCACGTCACACCTTTCAAAAATTATTGAAACATCTCTGCAAAGTAAATTAGAATCTCTTAAACTGGTTCCACCAGAACAACCACCATTCCCTGCTAACGACAGCAACCTTAGGATCAGTAATACAGACATACAACAGCCTCATTACAATAACATTGAGAGCATCTCAAGGGCTAGTGTCAATCAGAATAGCCCCATTTTAAATAGTTCACCTGGGAAAGTACCCAACATTATGCAAAGTTGGCACATCAAATTTGATGGGTCCAAGAATTGCATGCGAACTGACGAATTTATTTATCGCGTTCGTTCTCTTACCAAACAAAATTTGAATAACGAATTTCAACTCTTATGTGACCATTTATATCTATTGTTTACGGGTAAAGCTAGTGATTGGTACTGGAAATTTCATCGTACTCACTCCAACTTTACCTGGGAAATCTTTTGCTTAGAGTTCAAGAGAAGATTTGAAAAAATAGAAACCGATTATGACATATGGGAGAAGATTAGGAAACGTCGCCAAGGCGACAACGAACCATTTGATGACTTCCAATGCTCAATAGAAGATCTGGTTGATAGACTCCAAAATGGGATACCTGAAAATGAATTAGTTGATTTGTTGATTCGAAACGCCAAGCCTATAGTACATCACGAATTACTTCATTTAAATGTTTCGAACAGATCGCAGCTCCGAAGAGAAATTAGGAAACATGAACAGTTCTATAATGATATAAAAACTTTTAAGCCTCGGGCTGTGCGTTCATATGTCACAGAATTGTCAGTACCCAGCGATTCCGAACAGTTATCGGATGATGCTCACGTTTCAGAGAACTTATCAGAAATACAAAGACATACCGCAAAAACAGTTCAAGTTTGTTGGAATTGTGACAAACCTGGTCACAGATTCGACGATTGCGTAGGCCCACGAAAAATATTTTGTTTTGGCTGTGGAGCTAAAGAAATATTCAAGCCTATGTGTCCGAAATGTAACCCTTCGGGAAACGGGAAACGGGATGTGTCAACCAACACCAAGTAGACACATCCTCCGAACTTATTGATAGTCAGAATATCGGCACTCAAACGGACCACCAATATAATTCTTCCAACACTCACTTTTCATTCACACCTTTACATGAAAGAATACGAAATTACAACGTAGTCCGTAACCGAATTTTCAATAAAATAGATGAATTTAGATATAGAATTAAGCCTAAGCGTTCAACTAAACGCTTAAGAGAATTCTGGAAAAGTATAAGGAAGGTTAGGAGAAGGTTTATATCAGCCATATTTCTAAGTTCAGATAATAGACTTTTCACTGAAATTAGTATAGAAGGTAGAAGTTATATAGCCCTGCTAGACTCAGGAGCCACAATAAGTTGTATTGGCGGCTCGGCAGCAAAAGAATTGTTATTAAATAAGAAAGTTAGAAAATGTTCTGGATGCATTAAAACCGCGAATGGAACACCTAGTAAGGTAATAGCCAAGTTTACAAGTCAAATTAAATACCAAGGGAAAGAAGCAGATCTAGAAATGTTTATCATTCCAGACTTGAAGCAAGACGTATATCTAGGCATTGACTTTTGGGATAAATTTGGACTTCTAGACAAAATAACGTCACAAGACGGTGTAGCAGAATTAGATGTAGGTACCGCAGATGAAAGTATAGACCCACCCAACTATCACGTATTGTCGAAAGAAGAGAAGGCACGACTTGATAAAGTCATAACAGTTTCTCCATCTTTCGCTACTGAAGGTCTTGGTCGCACCAGCTTAATAACGCATTCTATAGATGTGGGCTCTGCAATACCCATAAAACAACGTCATTGGCCAGTTTCGCCAGCTATCGAAAAGATTATGTTTGCTGAAGTCGATAACATGTTGGCACTAGATGTCATAGAAGAGTCAAACAGTCCTTGGAGCAGCAATTGTGTTTTAGTAAAAAAGGAAGAAAAATATTGACTCTGTTTAGACTCGAGAGAAGTTAATAAGGTTACTAGGCGGGATGCATACCCTTTGCCTCATATTGACGGCATTTTAAGTCGCTTACCACCAGCTCGTTTTATTACCGGCTTAGATATGAAACACGCATATTGGCAAATTCCTCTAGACGAGAAATCTCGACAATATACGGCTTTCACGGTCCCGAATAGACCTTTATATCAGTACAAAATGATGCCCTTCGGTTTATGCAACGCCGCACAAACACTATGTAGATTAATGGATCAAGTTATTCCAGCTCATTTGCGAACACGAGTCTTTGTATACCTAGATGATCTCCTTATTTTGTCTGACGACTTCGATTCACATTTGTTGTTGTTGCAAGAAATAGCACTTTGCTTACGCAGAGCAAATCTTACAATAAACATAAGCAAATCAAAGTTTTGTATGAAAGAAATCACCTATCTCGGATTCATAATCGGAGACGGTCAAATAAGAACAAACCCCGATAAGATTAAAGCCATCAGTGAGTTTCCTGTTCCTACCACTGTGAAACAACTACGGCGATTTTTAGGTTTATCAGGTTGGTACAGACGATTTGTAGAAAACTACGCCACTGTTAGTTTTGCTTTGACAGAGCTATTAAAACAAAAGAAAGGCATAGAGTGGAATCCAGAAGCCCAACAAGCGTTCGAATCCTTAAAGTCTTGTTTAACAGCTTCACCAATTCTGATCACACCAGACTTTTCGAAACCATTTGTTTTACTTTGTGACGCAAGCATGTATGGAATAGGTTGTGTTTTAGCTCAAGAACGGGACGGAGTTGAGTTGCCTATAGCTTATATGTCTGAAAAACTCTCAAAAGCACAACGCAATTATTCTGTGACAGAATTAGAATGTTTAGCAGTCATTAAAGGCATCAAAAAGTTTAGATCGTATATCGAAGGTCAGGAATTTATAGTGATAACTGATCACGCCGCTCTTAAATGGTTAATGAACCAGAAA